AAGAGAAATCATTTTAAGGATACAGTACATATTACATCCAAATTCAGGGTGTAACATGATGCCAATTGGCACTGCCCACACAGCCACATCATTCACTCAGAGATTTGTGAATGAAATCTCATCTGCCACAATGGCAGACTGACTTATAGTTTTCAATGGAATGTGTGTACAGTGATAACTGCACTACTAGTGCATTGACACTTCCCCCAGCTCTCCCACTGAAAACCTGTACCCCAGTGGGGGTATAGTGCCTTTTGGAGGAGTCTGCAGGAGCCTGACATTGAACTTGTGATCTATTGCACACTTTTTTTTTTTTTCTACTAAAGGAGACGTGGCCTTTAAAGCAGAATCCCAGCCAAAAATAAGATACAAGATAAAAATGAATACATGTACATATCTGATCAGTTGTATCTGACTCTTGGTACATCTGTGGCCCAGCTCTCTGTGCACTGTTCTGATACACTTGTCAGCCTTTCCATAGACTTTTCTTGGCAATTTTTTTTATGAGGTTGGGTCTTTCCTTAACCTTCCCCAATTGCTCATCTAGGGACTTGTCTGCAGCATAGGGAAATACATGAGAATAGCCAATTTTATACACATACTAGGGCCAAGTAAGACAGAAGCCAATTGACCTGCCAGCATGTCTTTGGAATGTGGGAGAAACCCAAGGCAAACTCCATGCAGGTATTGTCCAGGCTGAGATGTAAACAAAGGACGCCAGTGCTGGTCAGTCAGTCAACGACTAGGGTAGTTAGTTCGAAGCCATCAACGGCATTACCTGCATGGAGTTTGCATGTTCTCCCTGTGCTTGAATGGGTTTCCTTCAGGTACTCTGGTTTCTTTCCACAGTCCAAACACATGCTGGTAGGTTAATTGGCTCCTGTCTAATTTGTGTATGTATGAATGTGAGTTAGGGGCCTTGGATTGTAAGCTCCTTGTTAGGTCACCACACTGCCCAAAAATATAAAGCCCAGCTTTAACCTTTGCTGCAGTGTTTACTACCAGTCCAGAGATTTGCCCCACAGTATTTCTTTTCTGCTGCTAGATGTCCTCTGGCCAGCATCATACAACCCAGGTCATCCTAGATCTGTCCCAGCCTGTGATTGGACAGTGCAAGGAGAAGCAGCACAACAATGAGCTCATCTGTCATTCTGTTTTCTTCTCCTATCGGCATGCTTCTTGTAAGCACATGACCCGATTGGCTGCTTGTGCTGCTTCTTCTTTTTTCTCACTCCAGGCCTGCTATACATAGACTACCAGGGGCTGATATCAAGTCAAATTCAGCTACTTGCACTTCTTTCATTTAAAAATATATTAGATTATGTATTAATGATTACAGAGCTGCATTAATTTTTGTTTCTTTTATATCTTCCTAAAGTTCAGCTTTTCATTAAACATACACTGAACCAAGGGACACGACTCTGGCTTATACTCACACCATGACCGTAAATGCCCACTACACCAAAAAAAACCATATATGCTCAGCAGCTGGAAGTTTTGATAGATATGCATTTGAAAGCTTCTATGTTTGAGAAACTTGAATGAAACTTGATGAATCCATGTGTTGTGTTTTTTTGTTTTTTTTGGTAAGGCTCCATTCACACTTGTGCGACTTGTCATGCGACTTTGAACATTAAAGTCACAGCCCATTCTTTTCAATGGCACCCATTGCCCTATTTGATGTGGCTTTGATCCAGAGAGTGTAAAGTCAGATCAAAGTCACCTCTCCAAAGTCACACTGGAAATTGTGCAACTTTGGAGTCGTGCAAGTGTGAATAGAGTCTTAAAAAAAAAAACACTTGGTTTTTCTCAAACTAATATCTCTGCCTCAAATAGTTTGTCTACACTGAGGAGCTAATGCAGGCCTCTGTCTGAGGCTCACTAGCTCCCTAAAATGAGCTCATCAGGAAATGTGTAGAAATACCTTGTATTCCTCAGTTAGACATACTGTATGTGGAGTGAGGACGTGATGTTATGAGATGAAATGCCTCAGTAAACAGAACCATTTAGAATAAAGATGAGAGAGAAGAGATAACTATTGTAATCTCTGTGATCACACTCCTAGGTTTATAGAGCTGAAGCAGAACACGCCAAAACGAACTACGTCTTCCTCCTTGTGTTTAGGTCCAAGATATGCCCGCATTCTAAGAGTGCTTATTTAGAATATCTTCCCTCTGATGTGCCTCTGACACTATATTGCAGTGTTAGGAACTAACTGAAGGATGGATCAAGACATACTGGTTACCTTGTAAATCTCCAAACTCTACAGTTTTTGGCATGTACAGCTTGATTGTCAAGAGATAGGATTCCAGAAAGTTGGTGCATTTTGGCCTGAGTATTAGAGTGATTAGAAGGGTTGGAACCTCTGTCTGTGTCCCTGTTGGGGAGATTGCCTTTACTTCCTGTTAGAGAAATGCCTTGCAACACCCTGACCCAAAATGTGTTGCCTGAACAGGAAGTGAGAAGAGATCTTTCAAATGTTGACATAGACCACTCAAATGTGGATAACATTCCACTATTTAAAAGGTGTTACTGTTTGTGTCTTCTTAAGAGATGTTTTTCCTTATCTGTTCTAGTGTCAAGGGAAAAGTGAGAGGAAATCTCCTAACCAGAGCTGTAGATAGCAATAAATCCAGCAGAGATTCTAACCCTTCCCATGTCTTGCTAAAACTGAATGATTTAACTCTGTTTATTTTATGGTTTATATAATCTGCACTGGTGTTTTAGGGCCACACTGTAGACTCAATGTTCTGTTATATGCATTTAGAACAGGGGTGTCCAAACTTTTTTCAAAGAGGGCCAGATTGGATGAAGTGAACATGGTGGAGGGCCGAACATTTTTCCGAACATTCTTTGAACCATTACAATTAAATGCAAATAAATTATTTTATGCCAAGTTAATTGCAAACGACATACTTTTCATTTCATAACATTAAGATCAACTGACAGCTGAGTTTTCACAATGTATTGAAAATAAATTTAAAAAAAACTTACCTGCACTAATGTGAAGGGTGAAAAAGGTAGCTGGAGCTGAAGTCTCTGCTCGGCAGCCGGGAGGGGAAGAGAAACACACTTCACGCTGGAAGCCCGGCCCTGACGTCACCTCCCTCTGTCGCTCCCAGTGCGGCGCAGTCATGCATGCGCACTGCTCTCAAGCAGAAGACTGTCTGCCATAGAAGGGAGGGCCCTGGGAAGGCCACATTACACAGAGCAGGGAGGGCTGTTGGAGGGCCGTATTAAACCGACCCCCGAGACGTAAATGGCCCGCGGGCCGGACTTTGGACACGCCTGATTTAGAATAACATGAAAAATGTTAACAGATCCATATTTTGAAATCTTCGGATTTCTGCCCTTTGCGTTTATCGTGGACTGGTAGCTTTCGGTCTGTAGGCTCCTAGTGATCCATAAACCAGCATTTGAAGAACATTGCCCTCTAGCTGGACAACTTTCTGGCCATTCAGCTCTATTATTATTTATTCATTCTTTACAGTTGCGACCCCCGCAGTGGAGCGTGGTTATGGAAAGCGTGGTTCCATCCGATAAAGGAAATTATACTTGTGTAGTGGACAACAAGTATGGAACTCTCCGTCACACTTATCAGCTGGATGTCCTAGGTGAGTCTTCTATTTATGTGTTTACGCCTGATTATGCAAACCTTAATAATGTGCTCCCTTCCACCACACCTAGTGCAAGAAAAATTACAAGTAGAGTATGCATACCTGAGCATGAGAAATTGTGCAGAAAAACTTTGCAAGAGGCTTCCAGTCTGTTCATGAGGACAATGAAAGTCTTACTCATATCCGTATACTGGGGTTCAGAGAATTCTGTGTAAAACCCAAAGTCAATTGAAAGTTCTTGATCAGTGGCAATACAATGGTTACTGCCGGAGTATTCTTTTTAAAGCTTAACTGCATGCAAGCTGCTAAATACTCAGAATTAATAAACAAACTTTTTTACCTGCCAGACGATTTGTAAGCCTGCACAGACACTAGCGATCCAAGCAGGAAATCTCAGAAACTCCAATGATGAAAAAAAAAAATTTGGCTGGTTATCCTCCCTTGCTATAAGTTTGCCTATAGTTCTACTTGAATTAGTTCCAAATGCTGATCTACTGTCTCTCATGCTCAGGGTTACTTATATTAGATGCAATTTTTTTTTAAAAGGTTTTTTTTTTTTTTTTTTTTGTGCCAAAAGCTTTAAACATGGAATGTAATGGGTTATAATGTGCAATCCATTTTTTTCCCATTTTATATACTTTGGTCCTTGCACGGTAATCTTTGCCAATTCGTTACTTTCATAATGGGATTTATTTCATGTGGATATTTATGCATATTTATGAGCCATTATGAGAGCTGGTCTTGTTTGTCGCCTTTATTGAAGAAGTCTTGTATACGTGGTCTGACCCTACAATACCTGGCTTGTTTGTTGTGCTGTTTATGCTTTTTGCGAGGGTTGTACAAGGAAATTGCCTTTCCTGGCATAGGTATAATATCAAGTAGCTACCCCAACATAGGACATAGCTAAGTCGTTGGCAGTATTCTCTGCCTTCAGTTGGACCAACGCACCAGTTCTGCCGAGATGTTTGTGAGCGACTTTCACAAGCCACAAAGTCTCCTGTGAAGAGCTGGTTTCAGGGGCCTCCAAATCTCACGTAGAACAACACGGACGACAAACTTTCATATGGATCCAACGAAAGGTGAGATGACCTGCCAAATGACTTGGCAAAAGCTACCTAACAAATAGCTTGTTTTTAAAGGAGCTACAGAGGTGTTTTAAAGTAATCACAACAATAAATAGGTTGATTTTGTTGTAGCTTGCTTTCATTTCACACTTCATACCCTATCTTACAATTCTTACCCAATTTCCCTCCAGTTGGTGTAGAATAATTATGTATATGATGATTCAAATAAAAGGTCAGCTAAGTGTTTGCTTAGCACTCTGTTACATAACAGTGAATGCATTTATGGCTAAACCCACAACTGTAAAATCAGTCTGTATATGCAGTAAAGCCTGCTTGATATACTCACTGTGGAACCTAAGGGGTTAATCCTCTGCATTGTGTAAAAAGGCCCTTTGATCCTGTCTTCTCTGATCCTCCCCTTCTTCCAGTGTCCCCCTCTTGTCTCCTGATAAGACATGTGTGGAGTCACTCTGCACATGCTCAGTTTGGTGTATATTGCTAGTGAGGTGTTTTGTTTTTTTATTACTCGGGAAAGTGCATGTGATCAGCACAGGGCCAGTCAGCACTGTTCAGACAGAGGTCAGGGGTTCTTAATCCTCATAGAGCAGAAAGAAAACTCCTCCTACAAGCTTTAACATGTGCTTTGCTGGACACTGATAGAAGTCACAAGACTGCTATATTGTGCTGATGAGAAAAGGTATTTAGCAGTTTATATTTACTAAAATAATGGCATTTCCATGTTCTGTAGACTGTGGGAGACAAGATAGAGTGAATGCAGAGTCCGGGGTTTAGTAACACTTTAGGTAACAAACAACCCAACAGATTATCAGCTACCACCAACACTTTGGATCATTTCATAGTGTTGCACGAAATTGTGGATAGTAGGTCACACTCATCCATTTGGCAGCTTTTGCAATTGTGTGTATGTGTGTAACCAGCATTTAGATTTTGATTACTGCAACTGCTTATGCTAGTTTATCACCTTACAGAACACCTTCTCTCATGTTATGTAGTGAGGTATTGCAGTCCTAACATATTTCATGCCATAGGGTGACAATGCTGCTTGTCTATAGGTACAGTACAGGGAGTGAGCATTGTCAACTTAGGACCAGAAGTAGGTTACTGGCCGGATCACCAATTAAAAAGAAAGGGGGGGGGGGGGAACAAAACGAATGCAGCCACCATATATAATGATTAGAAAGCTTCAATATACAGTATTACATTTTTAATCTTTGATTTGGATACACTTAAAACAAGCACAAGTGGTCCAATCTTTCCATGCTGCAGCTGCTGCAATGGACAGCTGCCTTTCTTTAGTTCATGTCAAACTTGGATAACCTGGCCTTTTGTCAGTTCAGCCATCCAGTCATACAATCTCTTCAGAAACCATTTACAAGAGACAATCTGCTCCTGTTATAGGAGGAAGATACTTCTTTACCTCAGTTCAGAGAAACTTTTACTAGGCACACAATTATTTTGTGTAAGATAACAAAACTGCACTATTTCAGCATATAGCGCAGTAGTCTCCAAACTGCAGCCATTTGCTTGCCTTTATCCAGCCCTGGGGAGACTATTCCTTCCACTGATATGAGGCACCATTCCTTCAACTGCCTCCAACAGTGAGGCACCATTCCATCCACTGACACCAGTGCCCCAACAGTGGGGCACTATTTCTTCCACGAACACCAAAAATGTAGTATTCTTTCTTTAAATGACACCAAAAATGGGGCACTATTTCTCCCACTGACCCCAATGATGGGGCATTATTCCTCCTAGCAGTCCCAATGATTGGGCACTATTTCTCCTCCCTCTGACCAGTGTTACTATTTAATATTTTCACTCCCACTGACCTCCAAGCCTGAGGCATTGTTTATTCCCACTGACCCTGGGGCATTTTCTACTCCCATTGGCCACAGTCCGGCTCCTTTAAAGTATGAAAGACATAGAAGGTAGAAGATAAAAGGATGAGGACAGAAATAGTTGAATATGCTTACAGTTTTTAGGAATTAGCTTCTGACATGATATAGATATATATAGATATATATATATATATATATATATATATATATATATATATATCTCCTTAAATGAATCTCCTTTTCTTTTTTCTAGAGCGGTCTTCTCATCGGCCCATCCTCCAGGCCGGGTTACCTGCCAATAAGACGGTGATAGTAGGCAGTGATGTGGAGTTTCACTGTAAAGTTTATAGCGACGCTCAACCTCACATTCAGTGGCTAAAGCACATGGAGATTAATGGCAGCAAGTATGGCCAAGATGGAGATCCTTATGTCTCAATCCTAAAGGTAAAGTCCTTTTCACTTTATTCATGTTGTATACATGGTTTTCTTTCAGAGACTGCTATAGGTCATTATGAACAAGAGGGGAGGGGATATCCTTCTTTACATAATATTACTGGATACTAACATTTATTGGTAAAGGTGATCCAGGGAATATTTGTTTGCCTCTTGTGGGAGAAAGGGATTGTTTTTCCCTTGCTGGAGCAAATTTGGATCATGCTTTATTGGATTTTTTTTGCCTTCCTCTGGATCAACTTTGGGTATAGGATTGTATTTCTTTTTTTCACTTTTAATGCTTGAATTAGATGGACTTGCGCTTTTTTTTTTTTTTTTTTTTTTCCAACCAGACTATGTAACATAGAAATTATTTCCTATAACTTCCTGTTGGGTCTTCAGGACAGAAAGTGAAAGATATCTCCCACTATGGGGCAAATGCATTGGATTTGTGACACCAGCATGGGAGCAGAGGAAAAACATGTATGACAATGGAACCCAAAAGAAAGCCGTGGTTCTCTTATATGTGTGGTAGATCATCCAACCAATTTTTTATATTATGCAAACAAGTGTCTCTGAAACAAAGAACATGAAAAGCAAAAGCAGAAAAGAACAGAGGAAACTTGTGATTATTGGGTTTAACCCTTCTTTACTCTATCCAGACTTAAATAAAAAAAAAATGACATTTACAATATAGCAAAATTGACATGGTTGGCTCATCTGGTATCCATTACATTATTCTATTCAAAAGATGAAAACAAGTTTTAGGTTTACAAGACTGGACGCATTTGTCGGCAATAAAAGTGTTGGAATATCCTCAAGGGTAACTGGTCTGTAGCCATTAGAATGTCCGGAGCATTTTACCAACCTGAACATAACAAGCTTATATCACTGGACCATGAGTTGGAACTCCTAAAATGAGGCCTTTCTAGTCATTAAGCTGTAATTTTTTGGATATATGTTTAGGTCATAATGACATCTTCCCTGTGGGGAAGGGAACAGATGCACCTTAAAAATTCTAACGAGAGCTTTCGAGAACAGTGTCTTATATCCTGTGAGGGTACTTTTGAAATATAGCAATCCCAAGTGATAAAATAACTGCTGTATTGGAAAATCTTACCGTGAAATTTATGAGCGGCTAAGTCAGCAGTGAGCTCAGGCCGGCCGCTTAATATTTTGTCTCTGAATCTTATTTTTGAGTCCTGATAATTGAAACCGCATTTGTTAACCGCAATCCTTGCTAAAACTTTTCTTCCCGATGAACGGTCTATAGAATGTGTCTGACACAAAAATAGCATTTTTTCTAACTTGGATCATGATACTTGTGAACAACAAAAGAAAACAAACACTAACTTTAGACAAGACACATTAAGATGAAAACACATTAAAATAATTAACTTTCAATAATTGCCATGTTGAGCAGCATGATATATATGAGGTGGATTTACTAAAACTGGAGAGTGCAAAATCTGGTGCAGCTCTGCATAGAAGCCAATCGGCTTCCAAGTTTTATTGTCAAAGCTTAATTGAACAAGCTGAAGTTAGAAGCTGATTGGCTACCATACACAGCTGCACCACATACTGAGTGCTTCAGTTTTCGTAAATCTCCCCCATAGTCTCTTGTATTTTACACATCATAGTTTGCTAATTTTGGATACGTGTGCACATTTAGCATTGTGTATGTTTTATTGAAGTTCTACAAATTGCTAATCCCTGTTGTAATCTAATATTTTCATATCCAAGTTTATCCAACTTCTACTAATTTTGGCAAAATACTTCTCATTTTTTTGGTTGTCCTAACTCAACTCGAAGAGCATTGTTTATTGCTGTCCTGGCTCTCTAGGTTTGTTAAAATTTTATACAGAGTTTCTTAGAAATATTCAGATCTGTCTAAACATTTTCATGTAAAACTGGAAAAAAATATAAATAAGTAATTTTGGCTTTGTTTATTGAAACAGTTCAAGGTGCAATCACAGTGAAAAGTAAAGCATATTATAACTGCCAATTAGAATTTATTTCTTAGTTGATCTGATTAGCGCAAACAAAATTTTTTAGTTGAGTTTTTTAGTTAATCTTTGAGTTACAGCGCTTTGCACTATTGGATTATAGCAGAGTTTCAACCAAAGGGCTAAATACAGAATGATAGTGGCTATATTTGCCATTATGTTGTATCTGTAATTCCATTCATCCAGCCTTCTAATCCAGACACCTGTCCCACCCTGCATAGTCAGATTGATGATGCCACTAATCTCTATTTCCACTCTGCAGCTTCCTTTGTTAATTGATGGCTGATTGGGCCATCAATGAGCATCATCACTACTTTGAGGTCTTCCTAGTGGTTTCCTCAAATCACCTGCCCCTAGTGCCTGAATTCATATTAGATTGTCCCAATCCAGCTCATTAGTAGTGGACGATGCTGCCACAGTGCATAATCTGTTGTTCTTTGGCTTTTTTGCTTTGGAGGTTCAGGCTATAGTGGGAAGATAAAATAAAGCAAGATTTCAGGCAATCCATACTAAAAGTGTTTTGAAATGCACTTAATGATTTTAATGAATACATAATTGCTTTAGAATGTTTTTTTGTTTGCATGAAGCCCTACATTAAATAAGCTTAATGGAATTTAGTAAAAGTTACAGCAGTGTATGTACAAGCCAATTAAACATGTAATTGAATTGGCACTTTAACCTACAGCTTACAATAACGATCTTGAACTTATATTTGAGTCATATACACTAAAGCTGTGCTTTGACAAATACTAATCCTTATAATATCTCCCCGGGTTTATCAGTCACAATTGGCCTTCTGTGGAACCCGTCAGTACTTAAGAATGTGTATTTTTTTTTTTTTTAATGGCTTGGCCTCTCATTTGAGACATCTTGTTTTCAATCGTCTCATGAGTATTGGTAGTGGCATCCTCCAGGTGGACAATTTCAATCAACTATTTCTTGGCTGATAATTACAATAATTTTGTGGAACAATATTCTGAAGTCTCAGTGTTTTGTCTGTTCCTTCAGTCATGGATAAGCGATAAGACCGAGACAGATGCTAGCCTAATTCTGTCCAGTGTGACATCAAACGATGAAGGAGAATATATTTGTAGAGCCAACAATTTTATAGGAATAGCCGAAGCGTCTTTTTGGCTCAGCGTTTATGAACCATCAACAGGTAAACCATAGACTCTGAACAAAGCCAACCAGCTGAACACTGATGTCCTGCAAAAACTCCTTGGGGTCTTTGGTATCTGTTGCT